GGTGTGAGGGTGTGTGTGTGTGTGTATGTGTGTTTTTAACTTTACTCTTCATCCATCTACTCTTATCTCCTGTTATTCTGCACTCACATTTACAGTTGTATTAATTTGAAAATGACTATTTTTGATGTAAAAGCTAAACAAGCAGCCATACCTGTTATGACATACAAAATCTCCGAGTCCATTAGATCATCTTTTTACCAAAAGCTCTTGGTAGTGACAAGTGGGGAAATGACCAGACCCTATTCACTTCATATACTTTTAAAAAAAAACTTTCTCATGCCCCGGCCACACGAGGACGAAAACGGCTAAACGCATAGGATTAACGCAAACGCAATCGCAAAAAACCTTCCGTCCACACGCAATAGTCATCCGGATAGTGTCTGTCCACACGAGACAGCTCCGTTTAGCTCCAACCGCTGGAGAAGCTGCAGTACATATGCAGGAGCCTGTACGTGGCGCTGTAACTTCCTCCACAAAAGCAGCGAAGAAGCATGGTTGTCATGGTTGCCCTTCTGTTTATTCTCCGCGGTGGGGGCCGAGAAAACCGGGCAGAGTTTTTCGCCAGTCAACGTGTATTAAAGTTTAAATCTTCCGACAAAATTATAAAAGTGCCGGTCAAAGGTCTTCTTTGTTATTGATTGAGCTTTAAAACAAATGAATAACGACTCTATATAATATAATAATAAAATACACGGAGCCTCTCTTTTTCCTCCCTCTCTTCGGACAGCGCCAGTGTCTGTTTCATGCAGCAGTTGATCCAGTAATGAGTGACCCGGCCGACAGTAAAAATAAACATATTTATAACTAGTTTAGGTAGTCAGATTAGACTTCACTCGCGTTTATATCCATATAGAGAGAAAGATAAATAATCTGAATTCAGTTTGCAGTTTACTTTGACGCGGGGGTGAGCAGCAGAGGTGGGGAGATGCGGGGCTATTGCCTCATCATTATCAACAAATTATCGTATAGGGCGTACACACGGAGCCGTTGGACCCCCCAGAGCGTTGCGTATGCCGTTCTATCCACCTTGGGACCCGTTATCATTTCCGCAGTCGTTTAGTGCCGTATTCGGTCGTCCTTGTGTGGCCGAACGGTCTATATGACACTAAACAGTAACGCAAACGACCGTTTTCGTCCTTGTGTGGCCGGGGCATCAATCTCCTCTTTCTTTGGTTGTTTTCTAAAAAAGAGTCTGTTTACTCATCTTACACATTATGCCCCCAGCAACACGACTGCACCACACTGGCTCACACCAAAAAGTAGAATTTAGTAGAATGGAAAGTTAAATGTAATTCAAAATCTCACAATATGATCCATATGTGGCAGGATGAGCAGTAAATAGTGTTGTAAGGCATATTATTTTTAGCCTATCACCGCCAGGGGGCACCTTATAAAGGAGCAGAGGCTTCTAGCTGGCGGCCTCTTGTTCGCTGGTGCCCAGGCCAACCCACTTCCGTTCTTGCCGTGTTTTGCTTCCGCCACCGGCGTAAGGCAAGGCAAGGCAAGTTTATTTATATAGCACTTTTCAACACAAGGCAATTCAAAGTGCTTTACAAAAAATGAAAGACATTAAGAAAAAGGCATTTAAAGTCAGTCATTAAAAATAAAAGCTAATAAAATAAACATTAAAAGAAAAAATACATGGATAAAAGTTTCAGTGCAGTCTAAGATATGAATAGTTCAATTAAAAGCAGCGACAAAAAGAAAAGTCTTCAGCCTGGATTTAAAAGTAGTAAGAGTTGCAGCGGACCTGCAGGTTTCTCGGAGTTTGTTCCAGATATTTGGAGCATAATAACTGAACGCTGCTTTACCGTGTTTAGTTCTGACTCTGGGGACAGAAAGCTGACCAGTCCCTGAAGACCTGAGAGATCTGGATGGTTCATAATTTAGCAGGAGGTCAGAAATGTATTTTGGGCCTAAACCATTCAGTGCTTTATAAACCAGCAGCAGTATTTTGAAATCTATTCTTTAACACACAGGAAGCCAGTGTAAAGACTTCAGAACAGGAGTGAGCGTAGGTATGTTGTAGGAGAATAGTTGGCTTCAGGTAAAGTTTCGCAATTTATCATACTTACGTGTAGTCACGTTTTGTTTTGTATAGCGGAGGATCTTCCTGGCGATGCCCGTCAAGTAGCCGTAACATAGAGAGCATTAAACTCTCTCCTCTCTGCCTGATCGGTATGTACGGCGATTTGTTCAGTCCATTCACCACACCTTTCCTGAACATTAATATTATACTTGTGTGTTTATTGTTAATCTAGGGCCAAGCTAAGGCTTTAAAGAACCGCTGCTGTTTTGCTGCACCGAAAAGAGACGGGTTTCTGGCGCAGGGTCATCATCACCCGTACTGCTGATCCTGTGTGCTGCTAAGTGCTAGTTGATTGTCTGCGTCTGGCTATCGTGTCTGGTCCGGTTTGGCATTGCCTATACGGCAGTATCATCACCTGCCCTACCGATCCTGTGCTGCTGGACACTACTTAGATTGTTCGCTTTTGGCTACTGTGGTTGGGCCGGTTTAGCGTGGCCTACTCTGTACTAGAGGTCCGCTCCCCTAGTGGTATTTTAGTGACTGGACTGCTGGGCTAACTCCTTCTGTTTAGTTATTCTTTCCTTCACCAATTTAAACTATTTTGTTCCTTTTCATTAATAGTTTATTTTTGTTTATTCCTATTTTCTTTTGTTATTTTCTTTCTTTTCTTTTGGCTTATTTTATACTTAATTAGTGTCGATATATCTTTGGTCAAATCATTGTTTGTTTATATGATAATGGTTTTGGTTTAGGTTTTCTTTCTTTGCTTTTTGCATAGTTTTGTTTATGCCGCATGATTGCGGCTTATTTTGGTTTATTTCATTTTGAGTCATTCTGTGTTTTTGTCCCCCACTTATTGTGTTTTCCCTTGTTTTCCTGTTTTAGTTACCGAGAGCTGAAGGTGGTGGTATTGGTGTCCGAGGTGGTGGCTTCCCCCTTTCCGTGTGCTGTGCTTCCCCCGGGTTTTTGGATATTTTCTCCATGTGATTGTGTGAGTGTGGAACACGTGTGACCGGGGTGACTTAAGTTTGTTTTTGTGGGATCCCTCTGCTCATTCGTTGACCCTCTCCCCCACTGGTAAGCCTCAGCCCCCTTGTTCGTTCTCCCTTTTGGATATAGCCCTGTGTGACTGTTTTTATAAATTGTATTTTTACTATTGTATACAAATAAACTGTTCTATTTTTGATAATTGAACCACGTCTCTTGTTCCATGAGTAACCGAACCTGTGTGTCCTAGTGACTTAAAACTTGTCACATTTCCCTGGGTGAAATTCCCGGGGTGGCGTTGTCGGACTTAGTGGTTTAACCAAACTGTTAAATTAATATATTTATTCTGCGGCCACTGCTACACATATAAAAGGAAATATAATACGTTTTTTTTGTTCACATCACACATAAGGGGTCACCACAAGAGACTCACTTACATTTAGTTGAGCTGCTGACAATTTTGGCTCCCACTGCCTGACATGTTTTACTTTTTCGCAAGAAAGGCGCTCTGAATTCAAAGAATTTGCTTTTATTTAAATATTTTAATACCTGAATTGCTTTCTACTACAGAGAAGCATTCCCTCAAATTGAAAGAGAAGTAGCTTCACAGTGTTTTAACCTTCACCACAAACACAACAACTGTGTGAACTGACTGAAATACATGCAAATGTAAAACGCTTTTCTGCAACTCACAGCAGCACAATAGGGCTGTGATTATTTTTGTGGATTTATCTCGGCTTTGATACTGTGGATTACAGTATGTTACCATGCAGCTTATCTCCCATTGAATTACATAAAAACACGTGAAATTGGTTTTGTAATTACCTATCAAACTAAACACAATGTCTGCATTACTCGCAATTCAATTTGCATTTGATTTTCCAATTTTTTCCCCATTCAGTTTTTCATTTCCTCATTTCCTATCTCATCAAAAGATTTCAGCTGTAGCCCTGAGCCTTGTTCTGGCATACACCAGGTTCAAGCCATGTCTAAAAGTCCATACCAATTACCAATTATCAACATTAATCATGCATTAGTTGTAAAATATTTATTCAGATGATCATCATTTTATGACTGAATTTTCAAGTAACCAAACTCAGTGCCAAAATAACTAAATAAATGCCGTGCTGTAGATATAAAAGCGGCGCTCTCAACTTTTGAATTTAAAAACATAAAGGATAGCATCAATACTGACCAAAAGTCAAATGTATTATGTTTCTGGTTACTGAGAATAAGCTATTTCTTAGTGTACGACGTCACACTTGGTAAGCTCAAGCTACAGACAGGATTTCAGCCCACGTTAGCGTGTTAAATTCAGCTGCAAGCACAAACACCAGAGCTGACAATGCATGTGTCAGGAGAGGGAAATATGTCCTCTAGTACATCACTGCCCACTTAAGTCTGAAATTACAAATTTCACATTAGCCTGCACTAACAGACCATGATGTTAGTACTGCAGCTAACCCTTGAAATAGCTCCATGTTAGTGACGGGGCTAGCTTTGATCATCCTGTGTGCATTAGTCATGGCTCTATCTGGTTCAGCTGTGAGCCCGGCTTATCTCTCTGCTCCATACTGACATCTCTGCACACAACCTGAGACTGGGTGGTGAACTAATTGTGCTAAACCCTGCTGTATTACACCCACTGTTTTATGGGATATGCAGATGAAACAGCAGTGTAGAATAGTTTAAACTCAGTGTAAAGTAAAGCTTCAGTCTGGAACATCAATGGGTGTATTTTTTCATCGTTCAACGTGGTAATCCTTAATTATCTGACCGTGTTTCTCACTAGTACAGGACAAATACTTCAGCAAGGAGATATATATATAGCTTAATAAAACATATAGTATATTAAATCAGATAAGTCGAATCAGCTGTAACAACAAGCACATGATGGTGGCTGCATGTTGGCTGAAGATGTTTCTTCCTAAAAAAAAAACCTCCCCACTCAGACGATGTTAAAGGTCATGTTGCCTGAACTCACCGTCCTGTACTGTCGTCTTGGCTGAACTCGAGTGAGCTTTAGGGTCCTCATATCTGCCAGGTTCAGCCTCTCGTTCTAAGGAAAATAAAATAAAATAAAAAACACAACAACGATTAGAATAGTTAATACAGGCTTAAAGTAGAATTTCAACATGTTTTAACTTCTATCGTGAGATTTGTTCACATATTATCTGCATAGAAGAGAAGATTAATTTCACTGTTGTGTCATCAAAGAAGCTGGAGACAGTGGTTAGCTTAGTTTATTAAGAATAACATATTCAAGTCGAAAGGAGCCAGTTGAGGTGGTTCGGGCACCAAGTAAGGATGCCACCTGGGCGCCTCCCTAGGGAGGTGTTCCAGGCACGTCCAGCTGGGAAGAGACCAAGGGGTAGACCTAGGACCAGGTGGAGGGATTATATCTCTTTGCTGGCCTGGGAGCGCCTTGGGATCCCCCAGTCAGAGCTGGTTGATGTCGCCAGGGAAAATAAAGTTTGGGGCTCTCTGCTGGAACTGCTACCCCCGCGACCCGACCACGGATAATCGGGAGAAGATGGATGGATGGATGGATATTAAAAAACTCTTCTTACCACAGGTCTTAAACTCAAAATGTAAATCCCTTCAAATAAATCTGTAGACTAACATGTTAGACTATCTGCTGGTTTCCTGGAACAAAAAGGCGTGAAATATTTTAAACCCCCCTAAACTAGATCTGTTTTTTGTACAGATTAAATGTAAACAATTAGGTTTTTTTTATTTAGGGAGAGAGACAGGCTGTTTAACCCTTCTTATTGTCTTATGCTAAACTAATCGCCTCCTCTACCCCACTCTGCACTTAATGCACAGACGTGTTTTGGTGAATTTCTTCTCATTTAACTCAGGTATATTGATTTATTGCTTTTAATCTCCTGTAAAATATTGTGAAATCCAAAGCCAGACTCTGCAGCGCTGCAAAGTGACACTCACATTACTTTCCTCGTCTGAGAGATATAATCATCGCAGCATCATTACCGAGCGCAAAAATACAAGCAGACTCAGCCAAGGGAGATCAAAGTAATGCAACTATCCATCTCGATACAAAAACGCTAATACATCCTCCCGCTTACAAACACAGTACAACATCCCATATGGAGGCAGGCCAGCAGTTGCAGAGCCTCGGGGGGGGGGGGGGGGAGTTTGTCATGTCTGTTTGTAGGCTGTGACATTATCACCCCGAGATGATTAACTCACAAACTCACCCATCTCCTGCATTTATCAGCGAGCAAGCTTACTGTATGAGCAAGGACTGTATGTGGACTTTAATGATGGAACAAGTAAAGAGACGTGTTTGTGTGTGGAGGTAAACATTTGATTTTGTCGATACACCATCTAATCATTACTCTTCCACTCTTTCCTCTCAATGCTCTTTGCCAAACCTCTCTGCTCATTATTGGATGAGTTTCTTATCTCCGAGTTATCCTCTGTGCAGGAAATCTCTCCCAAGCACTCTCTGTAGGCCTCACGTCTGTATATCTTTGTGTTTCCTCCCTGGAGACTCTCTGACGCCTCCGTCACTCTCACAAACTGGGATTAAGCCTGAGGGCTTGCGCTATGAACGCTAGCATCACCTCTTTGCTAACATCACCTCTTTGCTAACATCCTCTGAAGTTTATTTATCTTCATTTACGCTCGTCATAGGAGACTTTGTCTACGGGGCACAAAGGGCAGAATCTAAACACACATAAAAACACACACATTCAGTCTTCCCACTATGTGATGTACTGCGGTTCTCCCCTTGAAAACAGCAGCGTTCACACCCTGCACTCCATTGATTCACTGCTTAATTTCGCTTTGGCTCTGCTGTTGATTTTGGCTCTGCCTTTCTAAACTGTAAGTGCAGGGCAGTATGAATTCTCTTCTCACTGTAACCCCTATCTGCAGGGGTGTAGTGCTTTTTTTATAAGTGCAGGAGCGCACCTATGACTCGCACGTGCAGGCACGCGCACGGTTGTGGCACGACCACCAAAACAGAAACATATGGACATAGGTTGCTACATTAAACGTGTGCAAATGTATTTAGAATCCCATCCATGTAACCCTTTTTTAGTGGGTGGTGGAGCTACTGATTTTCTTTTCAGTGTTGAAGTGAAATGCATCAATCTGCTGCACTTTGAGAGCAACATTAGGGACTAGATCTTTGGATACATCTCTCAACAACACCCATGTGAAACAGAACTGTAAACAGATTTACTTTTTCTTTCTGCATATTTGACAAATCACTCTCCTTTTAAACTGTATTTTTGTTTTACTGTCCTATAGTATGAATTGGAATTATTTCATACTTGTTATTCTCTATACCTAATGATAATGATCATATAAAGGTCATATAAAGGTGTGCTTGGAAATACTTGTTTACATAAATGATGACCAAACCATTTGAGACCCACTGAGATAACTTAATCTAAAGTTAACTATCTAAACCCTCAGAGAACTTTTACTACTGTATCCTAATCTTTTCGATGGATTTATTGTATGACCATACGACAGATGAACAGACTGCCACTGGGCTTACAACTAAAGACACAGCTATGCAAAAAACGCAGCATGTGTACAGCTCATGGTAGGCTACTGCTCCTTATGTGTACTGCAATTTTTGAAGTGCCGGAGCGACGTTCCGGTTCGTTCCGGTGCGTTCCGGCAGCACTACACCCCTGCCTATCTGCCAACATTTACTCTTTCTTAAACGTAATTTTTCTCAGCCACTGGTTTCTCTGTGCCTCTTCTTACATACCATTTCTTCCTTTCCATCTTTAGAAATGTGACTGCATTGCTGATATGATTGGTGTAATCTGTTCATTAAATTAACAATACACTCAGTGTGACTGTGTATTTCCTTCCGCTGCGTCTCAGCAGGCTCCAGGTATCATTGATTATCACCAGTGTGTGTGTGTGACTGGTTAATTTACAGCATAAGCCTGAAATCACTGTAGCATGTACGTGTGCGTTTCAGCTGATAGTCCCATTTATGTGTTAAGACTCAACATTGCGAGCGCTCACCCCTCTGAAAGAGCGAGATAAGACCCGAGCCGAGAGTCATGGATATAGTCACTTTTTATGATGTGGCCAACAAGCCATTAAAATCAGAGCGGTAAACCATGTTTAAAGAACGCCCTGAGAGCGCGCTACACACTCTTAGCACATTATACTGAAATTAGATATTTGTTCTTGCTCCAGCACACACTCCATTTCATACACAGACCTGAGGTGCTCACTGTTGTTTGTTGCCCTATCCGTCTCCTTTCTTATCAGTTTCCCTCTTTCTAATTCTTTTCGTTCCTCCAGGCGCAGATCAAAGATGCTTATATGAGAATGTATGAAGAAGCGGTGACAGACTTTGGGGAGATTAAAGAAGGACCAATGAGGGGCGGGAGCAGACAGACAGCATATCTTCACATAGATAGAGGCTTAGTGAGTTGCAGAAAAGGCTGATGAAATATATAAAAACGAAGAACACTCTGCTGGGAAAACACAATGTCATGTCTAATCAGGCTGATTGGCAATTTGGAAGCTCCAGATTTCCGAGGCTTTGTTTGTGGCGGTGGCAGCTGAGCCAGAGAGCATCACAAACGGCTACTGTGTCTGCTGCCAACAAGGTTCCCATGGCAACCACTTATTCACAATGTAATCTAATTAGGCAAATGAGTAGGAGTAGTTAACACCTGAACATTGTGAACCTAACTTGTATTGTCTTCTCCCTGTCTTTGTCTGATTTGTGTTTTCTAAGCATTGGTTGCCAGTCTGAGTCTCCAGTGCTCCTCTGGACTGGATGTGATAATGGGGCACCGTCTGCCATTTGTAATCCTCCCGTTGACTCCCCTCTCTGGGTAATGTATTGAAATCACAGTCACAAATGTGTCGGGCATGCCCACACAAGACACGAGAATGTAATAGCTGGAACACTGATGCCAACTAATCCTGCTGACAGTATGCCTACTTTCTCATGCCGAGGAATCTTCTTTCCCTTCTTGTCTCTCTTAAAGGCCTTTTCATTACAACTCTACAACCATTACACATGGGGCGAGCAGAAATAATGCAGATGCAAAAACGAGTGATCAATTTAATCCAGAGCTTGGTTCTAGCGAGAACACATGGTTGTAGCATGGTGCAGCGTTAGGGTGTTGACATGTTGAGAAGCAGTCAGTTTTAATTGCATTAATGATCAGTTAAAGAAGTACTATTTTTACATTTTAAAATATATTTCATTGACATAAACTGGGGCTTTACATCACAGCAGACTGCAACTTGTGTGTGCGTATCATTGTTTGACAGTAGGTGTTTTTGCCTTGTTGTTGTGCGTAAGTAAAAGTAAATGTCAGGACATGCTTGATATTTTCTCTCACTCCAGATTGCACTAGTCAGTCACTGGTGGGCGGAGAGCGAAATCAACAACCGTATGAGTGTGTGTGTGTGTGTGTGTGTTTGTGCGCTCAAATTCCTTTGCCTGCGTATACAAACATCGCACGATAAAGGAAACACATTTTTAAAAGATCTTAAAAAGGGTTTGTTGGGTTTTCTTTTAATATGGACAATAAATAACGACAATGCTGAGCTTAACCTAACCCCTAGCAGGGACATTTTAATAGGAACGTTTCAGTATATATAATCATAAGAATTGTTTATGAGCTGTAGTGGTGTAGTCGGTTGATCTTGGAATATATTAAAGCTCATGAACCTTCGTATTATTTTTATAAAGAAAGGTTGAATAATGGATTGCGTACTGTAGAGTTACAAAAGCGAATGGAACAAAGACTTACGTTGAGGCTTCAACTCTCTGTAATAACAACGACTTTCTTTTGTCTTGTCACTCATTGGTCCGGGCTCTGCTCTGGGCGGTGAGGTGGAGCACCGTGAGCATGCAGATCTGATCTGAGAGCAGCAGATGTCTCTCACCACGGAGCGAACAGGGCTCTCTGGGACACGGGCCAGTCACCCACACACACACCTACACCTTCTTACACTCAGCATGGAGCACAGCATGTGCAGATGCCAAACAGGTTAACCATCCAGGACTGGCAGATAGACAGGTCAATGAGTGGTCGC